TGTTCGCCAATTTTAGGATGCATATTATCCATACCTGTACTATTTTGATTTGAAAATGTTAAAATTGTATTTTTGGGACCTTAGCCTTTGTGTAAGTTATCATATATATGTTTATAGGGCTAAAATACTAGCACAAGTGTAGAAAAGAAGATTCAAACCTGTTTGAATGTTTTGAGTTAAATGCAATGTTATTTTACTTCCCCCTTTATTTTTAGTAAATTGGGGTTGAGGAGTGAGTTTCAATTATAATGATGTTTCAAGGCTTGTGACGTGTTGTACTGGTAGTCCTAGATCCATTGGACATGGTCCAGTATTAGAAAAAGTTTTTGGCACTTGTTGAGGGTTTTGGACACCCATTTTGTATAAAAGTGTTGAGAAGTGGTTAAATTATATTTGGGTGTCCAACTTCCTAGTGTGATATGTTTTGAAAGTAAAACTCATATCATTAGTTAGTATAAGGAAAAGAGCTTTTTATAGACACCTAGACACATCATTCGGACGTCAGACATAGAATTGGGGCAAGCCGAAAGTTCCTTAATTATGCTATCAAATTGATAGCTGAACTGGTAAAAATTCATGCAACACGCTGCAACGCGTGGAACAAAGAGCAACACAATGCAGCGTAGACTGCGCCCGTCACGGCGCACTGCTCTATTTTTCTCAGCACATGATTTATTCTTCATTGTTTTCGACTTCTTTCACTCCTATGAGGTATTCCATACTTCTGAAACTTATTTTTACTCTGATGTGAAAGATTTCTATCAATGTTAACTTGTTTCTATTTAGAAAACCTGAGATTTCCTTATTTTTGAATTAAAAACTTGGTAATCACTCTCCGAAAATAATCCCTCGATTACCATGCGCTTGATTTTTTAAATGTGCTTAGTGGAGTGAGACTTTTACACAACGCGTGGCACAATGAGGAGAATCCTCATCACACGCATACGCTTCATCGTGAAACGTGCTTTTTCTACCTATATTTGTTCATTTAACATCCTAGGGAGTCAAATTATCAAATAACTATTCAAACTTCTAATCATTTACTAATTACTAATTCACTCCTAATTAATAGCTAATCATAAGAGTAGAAAACTCAAGATGTTACACTTAGACATTTAACCTTATATACTTAATATACTTATATATAATCAAATCAAAACAAGTAAATTTTAATATGTTAATAATATTAATAACAAATTTATCATAGAATAAATATTGATAAAACATAATAATTGGTTCCCATAATTTTATTAGGTTTTATTTTTAGTTCCTACAATTTATTTTCAGTCCTTATAGTCCTTATAATTTTAATATGTCAGAGACTTGAAGAACAAATATCATTCAATTTTAGTGAAACTATAAACATTAAAAAAAATTATAAGAATTAAAAATAAAACCTGATAAAACTATTAAAACTAATGATTGTATTTTCTTATAAAAAATTTATAAATGATATATATATCTTGATTTAATTAAAAAAATATTTAAATATATAAAGGTAAGTATATAAGTTTTTTTATAATAATAACTTTGGTGTTTTTGCTAAAAAAAATAATAAGAACTTCGGTTTTAAGTTGCTCAGTCTAACAAGCTAAAAAAAAAAAAAGACGCCCCTCTCCTTACACCTATTAACTATTTTTACATAAATTTTAAAAATTATCCTTAATAAGTTAACAAATGAAATAAATCGTGAATATTTCGTTAACGACCATGAAAACGAACATGTTTGACTCAAGAAGCCATACGCGAAGCCTCTTTGACAAGAAACTATACCAACCAGGCTGCCGCATGGCACGTGGAATCTCGCTTATAAATTCTTAAACGACCTCTTTGGAACGATGCAAAAAACGAAAATTAACGCAATCGACCATGACAATCTTCTCACCCAAACAATCGTCAATCTACACTACAGCTTTCTTCTTCTTCTTTGTCCTCTTTGGTGTCTCATTATTCTTCCCCATTGCTTCGTTTCTCTTTGATGCAAAGCCCCACAAGATCCATTTCCGCTTCCCAGATCTCTACCCTGAAGGCCTTGCTTGGGACCCACTGACGAACCGCTTCTTCGTAGGATCTCTCCGTCAACGGGTCATCGCCGCCGTCAGCGTCGCTGGAGATGCTGAAACCTTTATCTTCGACTCTTCCCTTCGGGAAAACCTCACCTTCTTGGGTCTTATGGTGGATTCCGTCAACAGACGCCTCCTCGCCGCCGTCCACGCCCTGGAGCCTCTCCCTCCGTTCGATGCCCTCGCCGCCTACGACCTACGTTCTCGGCAACGTCTCTTCCTCTCCGTCCTCCCCCATGATGGCGGATCCAATCGTCCGATTGCGAACGACATCGCGGTGGATGACGACGGGAATGCCTACGTCACTAACTCCGGTGGGAACTACATTTGGAAGGTGAACGACAGAGGAGAGGCGTCGATATTCTCGAGGTCTCCGCAGTACACAGCCCATCCCGTGGACAGCGACACACCGCATAGCTACTGCGGGCTGAACGGGATCGCTTACGTCAGCAAGGGGTATCTCTTGGTGGTGCAATCCAATACGGGCAAGATGTTCAAGGTCGACGCAAACGACGGGACGGCGAGGTCCGTGCAACTGAACGAGGACTTGATGGTGGCAGACGACATTGCGTTACGAGCGACGGCGTCGCTTTGGTGGTGTCGCCTGTGGATAAGCTGTGGTATTTGAAGGGTAAAGATGGTTGGGCAGAGGTTGTGGTGTATGACAAAATTGACCTTGACTTGGAAAGATTTCCAACTTCATTGGTTGTGGGGGAAGGGAAAAGGACGTATGTGGTATATGGTCATGTGGAGGAAGGTATGATGGGAAATTCAGGGAGGGAAAGTTTCAGCATAGAAGAACTGAGATCGAACAAGAATGAAAATTGTGAAATTTGGAGGATGCTTGTTTTGGTTGGGATGGGTTTAGCTTGTTTTCCTATTTGGAAGCTTAAGAAGTTGTGGCTTGTTAACAAAAAGAAAAAAGTCAACTAAGTTAAGGGTTCCATCAAATTTCATGTACTTTTTTTAATTGTTAATAGATATTCTATCACAAGAAGCAATTATATTCAATACTTGTTCTGATATTAAATATAAACACTTTTTTAATAATATTTAAATTTTAATTTATTATGTTATGAAAAATTAATCTCTTCTATTAGATCCATTCACAGTTAGTTTTATATAAATTTTCTTTAATTTATGGGGTTTTAATTTTTAGTCTTGAATTTTAATAAAAAAAAAATTGTTGAACAAAACGTAAGTCTTTTTTAAGTGGCAAATACACACACACGCACGCACGCACAAAAAGATCACTGTTTTTTTATTTCTTTTTAAAAAGAAATCAATTTTTAACAAAAAAATGACGGAATACAATAAAATAATTTTAATTCCTAATTGAAGGTTTAAGTATATGGAGTTGGAAATGAGAAAAAGAAAAAAAAAAAAGAAGTAAAGTCATTTTTAAGAAGGAAAAGAAAGTAACAACTCAAATAAATTTTCATTAACATACTATACACATCAAGATTGAAGGTAACAGATTGAAGACCAGTTGGTGAATGCTGATAATTGTAAGTAACTGTAGCTAAAGGTTATAATCCAAGGTAAAAATTTAAATTCAAATCATAATGGGTCTAAGACAGGAGCTATAAAAATAAGAGATTACTTCTATTTTCCTTTTTTTCATATAAAACATCCATATTTCAATGAATACATATTTAAATGCAACCCATCTATCCCTAAGAAAAAATGAAAAAAAAAATCAAAATAAGTATATTCTTAAAAATCATTTACACAATTATCTATCTTCAGCTCATCTTTGTAACTGCCCTCCAATCATTTTTCACCCGATCAAGATTGATAAAGATGATAACAATGTTGTAAACCAAAGACACAGTAAACACTAATTTTAACATTGAGTTGTAGAGTAACATATTATTGACGGACTTGGCTTAAATTGTAAGCTTGTGAAGAACTTTCACAAATTTTAATTTTTAAATTGGGACAATTTTGCAAGATGAAAGTACTAGGAAGAATAGCGATATGACTAAGGATCATCATGGAACTGGCAAAATTGGGTCTCAACTCTATAGTTTACTACAAATGAGATGAAAATAGTTTTTTTTTTATTATTATTCTTTGATGAACTAGGCAACCTCAAATGGATATGATGAAAATACTATGAATTCCAGGAATGAGAAGACAATGAAGAAGAATACAAATAATACACACGATGAAAATATGTCAGTTCCGAAGAAAAATCTGGTTTACACACGCTTAACATTCCTCTTCTTCGTTACTCATCAATTCCTTCACCTTTTTTGTTATAGTTGAGTTGGCATGGTGAAGAGTCAAATAAGCAAGTGATAATAAAATAATGTGAAATACAATAATTATTATTTAATCTTTAGAAACTTGTCCAGCATTACACGTCTCATCTAAATCTACTTTTAAATTATTTTTTAAAGAGATCAAATCACACACACAAATATATATTACACAGGATAAATATTTAGATAAATTAAATGTGTGATATTATTTATATTTTATTCAATAAAAACATGACATTTAAATAAAATTAAATATTAATTTAATTTTGATATATATTAATGATAGTATAGACAAAAAAGGTAAAAAATTAAATGTATATTCTGTTATAAAAATAAAATTAATTTAAAAAAGACCACACAAAATTTTATTTAGATTACTCAAAATATTTTAATTAAATAAAATACAAATGACATAGTACACCCAATCTATTTAAATATTTTTCTATCATACAATATGTTATTTTTAGTTATTATATATATCTAAATTTATTTTTAAATTAATTATAACTGATTTTTTAAAATAAATTATCCACACACGAATCATACAAACTTCAATTATAAAAGCTTCAGTTAGTTTTGCAAATTTTAATCATATAAATACCAAGTTCAAAACAAAACAAAACAAGAAAAAGTGAAAAAAATTTTAATAAGAAGGTTGTCAGACAAGAGACTATTAGACTGCAGCCTGCTTGACAAGAAACCAAGGCTGAAGCCTATTTGACAAGAAACCATATCTACCACCCTGAATTTCACATATAAAATTCTCCAAGGCAACTCAATGAAATGCTGCAAACAAACAAACCACCACACTAACCTCCATTATTAGACACTCTTCGAGCTCGCATTATCCTCAATCCCACCATTGTCAATCTTATCGCTCAAGCAATAATACTCAAATCTCCATGGCCAACTTCTTCATCTTCCTCATCTTTGGCGTCTCATTCTTCCCTGCTTTGCTTCTCTTTCATCCAACGCCCCACAAGATCCATTTTCGCTTCCCGAATCTCTACCCTGAAGGCCTTGCTTGGGACCCACTGACCCGCCACTTCTTCGCAGGATCTCTTAATCAACGGATCATCGCCGCCGTCACCCATGCCGGCGTTTCTGAAACCTTCATCTTCGACTCTTCCCTCCCCGAAAACGTCTCCTTCATTGGTCTTTCGGTGGATTCCGTCAACAGACGCCTCCTCGCCGTCGTCCACTCCATCGAGCCTCTCCCTCCGTTTGACGCCCTCGCAGCCTACGATCTACGTACTCGGCAACGACTCTTCCTCTCCGTCCTCCCCGATGACGGCGGAGCCGGTCGTCCGATCGCGAACGACGTCACTGTGGATGACGAGGGAAACGCCTACGTCACGAACTCCGCGGGGAGCTACATATGGAAGGTGAACGGCAAAGGAGAGGCGTCGATATTCTCGAGGTCTCCGCAGTACACAGCCCATCCTGTGGACCGCGACGTACAGTATAATAATTGCGGGCTGAACGGGATCACTTACGTCGGCAAGGGGTATCTCTTGGTGGTGCAATCCAATACGGGGAAGATGTTCAAGGTCGATGCACGCGACGGAACGGCGAGGCTTGTGAAGCTGAACGAGGACTTGATGGGAGCAGACGACATTGCGTTGCGAAATGACGGCGTCGTTTTGGTGGTGTCGCCTGTGAATAAGCTGTGGTATATGAAGAGTCAACACAATTGGACGGAGGGAAGGGTGTTTGACAAAATTAACCTTGATTTAGAAAGATTTCCCACTTCAGTGGTAGTGGGGGAAGGGAATATGGCGTATGTGGGATATGGGCACGTGGACGAGGGTATAATGGGAAATTCGTGGAGGGAGAGTTTCAGCATAGAAGAAGTGAGATCAAAAAAGGATGAAAATAGTCATATTTGGATGGTGCTAATTTTGGTCGGGATGGGGTTGGTTTCTTTTATGATTTTGAGGCTGAAGACGCCAAGGCCTGTCAATAAAGGAAAGAAGGTCAATTAAGTTAGGATAAAACAAATAAAATTAAAGTAAATAATTTTGAGTTAAAAATAAATCTGTGAACTTTGAAAAAAAATTGAATGATTGACTAGAGTAGCACTTGATCCCCTATTGCTTGTTAAAGACTTGAACCTATCATAGTTCTCCTCGTACTGGTAGAAATATCAATGGTGTAGACGGAAGAGGTCAAGCTTATCAAGATTACCAGTTACAGCTTTATCCTTCATTTAGACATGGACAAAAAAAAAAGAGCTCAGAGGAAAAACTTCAAAAAATAATAAACTATATAACTTTTCCCTACTGACATTTTTTTTTTCCAAAGAAAGCCTCAATTTTCCATTGGGATATTTACGTGTGATTGTATTTTAAGAATATTCCCCCTTTCAATCTGCTGCGTAATTAATTTTAGGTGAAATCTCTAGATTAAATTTAACGTGATAGCATACATTTAACGTTGAGATTTCATATAGTTTTCTTAGTAGGTTTTTTTTTTTTTAAGTACAAGGCCATGAGAAATCTGCGAAGGACAATAATCATGCCATGTCAAAATTCATAAGATTTCTACACTTCAAAGATGGATTATAAAATCTTAATGTCTAAGTTATCATTAGAAGTTTGGCGAACAAGCTAATTCATACATTTATTAGCTTTTCAAAATATATAATCAAATGTGAACATGTCATCTCTCATGGCAAATTTCATAATTTTTGGATGATTTCACCATATTGATTTATTGTGAAATCACACAAATGAGTGGTTGAAAAAATAAAAATAAATGTTGACTTTAATAAAATTGTCATTCCAACTAAAACCCTACATGGGGTTTTTATACTGTACTTCTTTGGAAAAAAGAAAAGGAAAATATCATCCAAGGATATTTGGAGAGTTTTTATATTAAGGAAGAACCTTATAAATATGAAATTTTACTACACTCCCTTGATATTTATCTAAAAATAAGATTTTATAAAAAAAAGAATTAAGTACCCCTAAAATTTAATAAAGTATAATAAGTTAATGGATTGTTAGTTATATATGATTAGCTGTCAAAACCCAAAAAGATACTTGTATATACAGGACTAACACTTGTACAATTAAACATATGCTATTAATATAATCGCTTATTAATTTTGAATGGGTTGATGTTAATAATGAATAGTTACTTGTCAAAGATCAAATGGATACTTGTTTATGCAAGACCAACACATATATAATTAAATCTATGATATTAATTATAGTCACTTGTTAATTTTGAATGGATGGTTGATAATTATGTAAGGTTATTTGTCAATTTGACGTAGTATTTATGATGTGTAGGAGGAGACAATTGAGCATGTTCTATTCTTGTGTCCATGGACAAGGATGGTTTGGTTTGGATCGCCATTGGCATTGAAGTTTAGCAGAAAGAAGGTATGCAGGTTTGATAAATGGCTTGAAGATTCTCTAATGTCGAATTTTGGTGCTGATGATTATGCAGTAGCACTATTTTCAGCTTTATGTTTGGTCAATCTGAAAGTGTAGGTGCAGGTGTGTGTTTGAAGGTGTAGAGATGGATGTGAATTATTGCATCTCCAATGTAGTGGGCTTAGTGAATGAATTATGGTTTTGTTTGGATAAGTAGAGTATGAAGCGGACTGATGTAGCCAGTAGTGAGAGAGCACTATCCTGGTGTAAGCTTGATGTGGGAACAGTGAAAATTAACATTGATGGGGCTTTTGGTGCTAAGAGTGGTAGAGCAGCCATTAGTGTGGTTGGAAGGGATAGTAATGGCTTTTGAAACTGATTGTGAAGAGCTTTATAGGAGGTTGAAGTGGCAGGACATGAAGGGGTGTGACTGGAGGTATTGGGATGTTTTGAATCAGTGTTTTGTGCAATGGAGATCTGTTGTGCGCTGTGGTCTGTCTATCGTTTCAAGGATGGGCAATTATGCTGCTGATTCCATTGCAGCACATTCTATGAGAGGTATGGTATCATTAGGATGGCTGTGCAAGCTACCATCTTCTTTGGTTGCTATTTTGCAAGATGATCCTCATGGCAAAAATACTGAAGCACGGAAGAAAACAGGGATTGTTGATTTTTTTTCAGGCTTTAAACAAGGTAGGATGCAGTTGTATTTGGTTTTTGTTGATTTCTGTTTGTTTAGGTTGTATGTTTAAGTTCATTGCTTTCCTTGTTTTTCTTTTACAGGTGAATTAGTGTGTGTAATATTTGTTTTGGTAATAAATAAAATTGGCTGTTTTGTTTTTTTTTTTTAAAAAAAATATTTAAAGTACAGTGAAATTTTATATTTTTAAAGTTTTTCTTTAATATAAAAACTTTTTGTGGATCCTTCGATGATAATTTTTCAAAAAAAAAAAATTGTTGAATATTAAACAGAAACTAGAGGTATGGATATGAAACTTTCACTGCAGTCTTAAAGAAGCAAGCTAATTTCATTTAGCAGCCTGCACTTGCAGTTTCCAATTTAGCGTTTTATTTAGCGGCATTTATGGGTTCTTCGCAAGTTAATGAAGGATTAATTCTAGCATGAAAGATACTCATACCATCAAAATATCTAATACTGAAAAGCTCATATTGACGTCAAGATTATGTCTCATTTCACCTCAAAAATAATAATACATTAGTTAACCAAAGCGTATGCAAATTGAAGAACATTGATTGTAAGCGATTCAGCAGAAAATAGGCCAATGAAGTTGTAATTAACCCTCATGGAATTTGAGATAGATTATACCTTCCATTTCATTTTTGTAAATTTGAGATTGAATTAACCTTTTTAATACGATACTGAAAAGTGAGAACTACGCATTCATAATTTAAGCTTCGTAGTCACTATCCGTATTAATCTAGGAGTTTTATCTTGCTATTAATTTTCACAGTGGGACGAATATAACAAGGAATAATTCGAAATATATGTTAAACCATGGGGAAAAAAGGAATTCAATGAAACAGTTCAAATTACGCAATCAATTTCCCAAAAAGAGGAACTCGGACCATAAATTCAACCAGCTAAAAAAAAAAAATAGTTCGCTTCGGTGCTGATATATAGCAAGAGTATTGGAACAAAGAAACTTCAATATGTAAACAAAATTAGTAAATAAAAAACTTGGAAATTTCTACTGCTGACACTCAACATTAGTACCCTTACACAGCAAAAACGACGACCACTCACTGCTCGCCAGGCATTGTCTTGATAATGTCCGAATCACCTGAAAACAGAAATATCAAAGACAATTAGGGTGACAAAACCATAACTCTTAACTTCATCAGATTGATGTTAGATCTGGATAACTCCAGGTACCAGGATCAATAATGCTGAGGCAGCACACTCTGAAATATTTGCCGCAGGCGGTGCCCAAATCAACGTTGTCTGTTATCAACAGGAAAACCTTGTTTAGAGATTTTTTAATTGAACAGAAACATTCAGAAATCATTCATGTTTATGTCCCTGGACAAAAGATACATCAAAACATATAAACAAACACTAGAGCAGCACGCCAGCAACACAACGAAACAACATTGTCTGTTTCTATCTCCACTTGAGACTTGAGAGGGCACCTTGTCATTCACTCACTTGAGAAGATATCTAAAACTGAATCTGCATCCTTTTAATTAGAACCCTGAATAGTTAATCTAGACAATGTAAATCTGTTCTTAGCTCACACGGTAGTGCATTTAAATATATCAGTCTTTTAGCCTCACCGTACAAGAGCATCAGGATTCATTAGGGCACGAGGAAACAAATTCAATTATCCCCTGGAGTAACAGAAAAAGAACAGCCAGCTATTTTCAAGCTAGCATGCTTAAGCATGGTCATATGAACCTTGAGTGCAATCAAGTGAAATTGGAGTAAGAGTTCGAAAGCTAGTTCAAAAGGTCACATCAACCTTCACACATATCTATTGTAAATGGTACTACATACTCTTCAATGATCTCTACATCCCAGAATTAAAGAAAAGGTCAATCCTTTTGCCGGAAAAAAAAATGACCAAGGTCAACCAAACAAGCAAAATGGAAACACCATCAAAACACAAAACAGTTCACTGACAATCAGGAGATAGAAGTTTTGCAATCAAGAACTTACTTCCATTGTAATGGTGAACTCCAACTTTTGCCAACATGGCATAGTACTCTATTTCTGACTTTCGGAGGGGCGGGCAATTGTTGGCGATAATAATCAATTTTCCTGCAAGGAGGAGAACATTAAAGACACTATTCAACTTTTGACCACCAAAAAAAACTATTTAATTATTTTAAAAAAAATTAAACAATATGTAGCAAAATACTCATAACAGCAACATCCATCACAACTCTAGTTATAATCTGCGCAATTAATTCACTTCAAATTCAATGTTCTTCCCCTTCACCGTTTGTGCATGAATTCATTATAATCTAAAAGGAAGACCCTGAAAAACAACTCTACAGCAGCAAATACAAATCGAAATTTCACTGTGACCATCCAACGCTTCTTTTAAGATCCCACAGCGATCCAGACTCCAAAACCTAAACAGAAACTTTTTTTTATCAAGCATATCAATTAACAGAATTATAAATCGCCCAGCCTAACTCGACAACATTGCATTTGCATCGCGTATTAATTAAAAATTCAACATCAGAACCACTTAATACAATGTTGGTGAATGCCAAAGTAGAAAAAGAGCAACTGGATCAAAGAAAGCATATGGCTGTTGGCTAAAATCCAAACCTTTGGAGCTCCTGAGGGACTTAAGGACCGTTTTATAGCCCAGGGTATACTTCCCACTCTTCATGACAAGAGCGAGCCTGTTGTTAATGCTCTCATGGGTCTTCTTCTGTAAATGAGAGAAACACAGAAATCATCAACTCTTTGCTTGTACAGGGGCGAAGGCCAGGCAAAAGAAAACACACCACTGAAAAATTCTGAATCAGAAACGGAGACCTAAATGCGAACTAAGAACCGAAGCAAGTCGAGCATGAAGGAAATGACACAGAGAGGGTGAAACTTACAGTCTTCTTGGCGGCAACCATGATGGAATTCTACCGGGGAGAGCGGATGCGGAAAACCTAGCAGCTAGAGGCGCAGAGTGAGGCTGGCATGAAAAATGGGGTGCGACTAGGGTTTTTTGTGCGAGAGAACAGAGTCTTGCCGTGTTTGAATGTGGACTTACAATATTATTGGGCCGGAATTGTACAGAGTGGCCCAATTTGTAGTCCATCTTGTTCTTCCTACACTTCAATTAATTGTGTCACTGAAGTTAGTAGGCTTCGGATGTCCATGAAAGTATAGTTTCGGAGTTTATTTGGAAATATGTAAAATTAACTAACGACTAAATCAAATCAATAATCATCAAGTATATCAAATCGCTTAGAATTAATGTTAAGAAAATTGAATAGGTCAATGAACCGGTTGAGCTATTGGTTCTTAGTTTAATGGTCAGATTGTGGTCAAATTGTTTATGAATAGATTAATATATTTTAAATAATGCATGCTTGAAATAGAGAGAAATAGTTATTCATAATAATAATAAATATTTAAATTATAAAATAATATATAATTAAAAAAACACAATATATACCAACAATCCATTATCATCCTACAAAACATGCATTCTTATTTCATAATTTGTAATTTATAATCTTATAATATGTACGCAACATCTTGCATGTTTTTTCCCCTTTTCTCAATGCTTGTTAAGTATGAATATATGAAAATTGTAGTTTTAAAAAAATTAAATTTTAAAAATAAAAAAGTAAAAAAATTGTGGTGGAAATGAGACTTTTTCTTGAAAAAATAACATAAAATACTTCCAAAACATTCAAATAATGGTAATTAAATATCATTAAATATGATAATTAATTTTCAATTTTTAACAGAAACTTGGTCCCCCCAACTAGAACCCTTGCACCAAAGGCAGACAACCCCTTACATCCAAAACCAAAACACTTGCACTTTAAAGTAAAAGCCTTGCATCGAAGCCAAATCCCTTGCACCTAAAACCAGAACACTTGCACTTTCAAGTAAAAGCCTTGCATGGAAGCCAATTCCTTGCACTCTAAGCTAAAAAATTTACACCTAAGTCAGACCTCTTACACTTCAAGCTAGAACTCTTGCACTCAAGCTAAAAGCTTTGCACCTTAAGTCAGACCCCTCGCCTCAAAGTCAAAACCTCTCACACCTAAGTGTTGGTTTAGGTGCAAGGCCTCTGGCTTGGGCTCAAGAGATTTGGCTTGGGTATAAGGGTTTTGCCCTAAGGTGCAAAGGGTTTGGCTTAGGTGCAAGACTTTTTGTTTGGCTGCAAGGGTTCTAACTTAAGGTGTAAGGAGTTTGGCTTAGGGTGCAATGATTATGTGTTGTGTTATGAAGACATTGATTTACATGTAATCTTCAATCATTTTTATATAATTTTGGCTTGGGTGCAAGGGTTATATGTTATGTTATAACAACATTAATTTATATATGACCCTTAGTTGTTTTCATGTAATTTTGGCTTGGATATAAGGCTTCTAGCTGAAGGTTTTCTCTTAGGTATAAAGCTTTTGGCATGGATACAAAGGTTTTGGCTTGGGTTGCTTTGGGTTTGATTTATGTGCAAGGCTTCTAGCTTAAGTACATGAGTTCTAACTTAGGATGCAAGAAGTCTAGCTTGAGTCAAGGGTTTTGGTTTAGGTACAAGACTTCTCGCTTAAAGTGCAAGGAGGTTAGTTTGGGTACAAAAGTTATATCTTGTATTATAGTATTATTAATTTACATATAATTAATGGTGGTTTACATGTAAATCCATGACATTAATGGGGGTGTCCTCTTTGTGAAATTGATTTTAGCTTTTAAGTGTGTTGAAATTTGAAGTTCGTCTTTTAAGATGTTGTGCCTTAGAATTTGTCATCTTGTATTTTAGCTTTATGTTCTTGTAACTTATTCTGACTCGTGCATGTGAAGGGTGCTGGGAAAGAACCTTGTCTTGTAATGTTTGTATTAAAACTTATTTTGGATGGAAGAAGGAGAAGATATCTACAAATCCTTCTTCACGAGAACAAACTTCGGTTCAATCCGTCCTACCTCCAATTTTCAGACTTCTTTTGAAAATGATACATAGGTAAATTAAGAGAAGTAAATGATACAGAATTTGATATAATTTAAAACACAAGATTATATCAAATTTAAAACACAAGATCATATCAAATTCTGTATATATATATATATATATATAGCTTCACAAATAGAGAAATTAATCCTTTCGGTTTTTTATTATATCTAACTAACAGAGGATGTCATGTAAATGAAACACATTAAATAAATAAGCTGCATGTAAATGAGGTCTAACATGTGGGTACGTGAATTGTAAAGACAAATTATTAAATTAAAAAAATTACAAGCAAGACATTTTCTTTTGATCATACGTGTAACATTCTAACATTTTGTAACTCGCCCACTCTCTATTAACACCACTTATGTTGTCATGTTTTATATCATCCCCTAAACCTATGAAATAAAACATTGAATCAATCAACTATTGTTAGTACCATCTTTTTAATCAAATAAATAAAGACAAGAACATACTCCTCCGAATTTTATTTATAAATACTTTTAAGAAGCTTCCACCATAAATTTAATGGAAGGTTAAAAAAAAAAAACTCATGAAAAAAAAATTAATAACATGACTTAAAAATAGAAACAAAAAATCATTTTTGAACTATGACATTAATGGAATGGCTAAAGCTAGATAGATGCATAACAGCGAGGGGAACATTTCCCAAACTTTAGCCCTAAAGAAGATTGAAAGCCAATGGAAAAGGCAAGCATGCTATTTATTATCACATGTCAAGGTCCATCCAGTTTTGCTTCCTATTTTGATCAACAATCTGTTCAGATTAACCAGAAACATATTCAACTTCAAGCACAGGATATTTTGGAGCGTAGTTTCTATTTCAGTCAGTCAGCAGATTTGTCTGGTTTCCATTCTACTATTGCCAAAGTATGACGACCACCACAAGCAACGAGTTTGGCTATCCACCGTCCATCAGCTGAATTTTCACTTGGATAATTTGGAGGTGGAATGTCAATGGGTACCTCCATTGGCTGACCAGTAGTAACTTTCCTCCCATAACCAAGCCGGCCATGGTCACCGCGACCAAACTGCGAGCAGCCAAGACCGGTAACATCAGAAGCAGAGCTCTTTAAACATAATAAGAATGTTACCGGGAAGGTGGTTAAATAAAGATAATATTAATAATACTTACAGAAAATATTCGCCCATCCCGGGTTAGAGCAACTGAATGAGTACCTCCACAGGAAACCTGATCATAAACCAAATCAAATTTCATCTCAAATTGGAAAAGATGCTTAAGCCGAAGTAGTTGGCATACAGTGCTCTTGAAATTGTACAATTCATTATTTCATTAACATGGTTCATGATATCTAATCTACCCCATCTAATGGGAATTTGGGATAAGACTCCTTGTTTCTGCATGGTTCAAGATATTATCTCTCCATAGTGATATATATCATAGAAATCAGGCTCTTGGCCTGGACCACTGTGAATCAGATCCAAGGAAACTTTGCAGGGGCACGGAAAGACATGGGCTGGACTAGAAAACCACTAAAAAGGTTCAACTGTAGCAAATGAAAGAGGTTAAAGGTTAGACAAACAGCCAGCAGGTTCAATTGATCTATCATGAACATACATTGCTGGAACATGGGCTAGACAAACAGCCTGACAGCCTATGACCATTCCCAACATGCTGGAACATGGGTGCAAGGCCACACAGCAATTCGTGCTGAGGGGTATGGCCAACCATCAGCTTCTAATGGGTTAGCAGAGGCAGTTAACCAAGATTCTGCTATACACAGCGCCTGGTTTGATTCAGTAACTTAAGGTAAAATAAGACGCCCAAGATAGGCCATAACAAGGACTCTTTTCCCCTTAGCTCTCAAAATATGTAAAACTAGATGAAGTTGAGGAGAAACCCTTCGATATAGACATATTAGCACGCAACTGAGACAAAGTAGCTGGTCTGTGGCTATGGTTTCTACAGATGTTCCGTTCTCTCATTCGAATAACAGCAAATAATTCAGCTCACCGCACCTCCTATTACAATTTCACAAAACAAACGTATTAGGTGATTCCAAGGCAGACCTGCATATTATGCATGATACAACATACATGCACCGAAATCAAGCACAGCCCCTAAAGGGAGACAAAAATGTGATACCTAGAATTTCTCTCTCTTGGCTCTTACACTATGTTAAACTAAAGGAAACTTAAGTGAAACCCTTGGATATATGACTGTGCACCAGGGACTCTAACTTAACCACTGTCCATACAAATGGCTTGACCTTAGAGTAAACCTTAGATTTTCAAATAAGCTTGTCTACATGAAATTTTTCCCCATTGGGAGAATGAAGAAGAAACTGGAAGTAGCATTTAAACAAACAAATACCAGAAAAATCAAAGATTGCTGGAAAAATGTGTTATCTCTTCAAGCCAAAAGGAGCATAGGTCTGGAGCATTTCTCTAAGCAGAGGATTATATAAAAGTGGAAATTGCAAGGAACATTTGAGCCCCGCATCAACCAGTAGCTCGGGATGGAAGCATTATGCAAAGAAGTGTACAATGTCCCTTACTTTGATAAACCTTAAGAACATTTACATAACAGTCATACAGATGGTACCTGTACAACATCTTCTCCAGCCAAAAGCTGAACCTTTTGGGGTACCATTTTACTGCTCTTGTCATTATCACCAAATCCAAGCCTCCCATGCTCCCCCCTTCCCCAGCCATATACCTGCAGTAGAGGATAAGGTAATCTTAGAGTCCATTGTCATTGGTTTACTGATTAAAAACCAATATCCACTTGAGCACATTGATTTTCTGACTCTATTCCTTTGCCAAGCAATGGATTATGCAAATCCAACCACATGCCTTTAATTTCATGATAAAAAGTAAAAATCGTACAAGAATAGCTGTCTTAACCATCTTCTCTCTTCATCGATTGTTTTCAGCTATCCAATGTGCTCGTTAAGTCTTCTGGCAACTGAAAAACTAAACCTAATAAATTCCGGAGAAACCAAAACAAAGATCACCTCTCCTTCATCTGTCAATGCAGTTGAATGCCATCCACCAGCTGCAATATCTATCTGAGGTTGCAAACAGATAAAGAAAACTAATTAGTAAGATGTTTTAGATATGAATGATTGACACAAATAAATACTTTAGGGTCAGCAATCAGCAGTTAACTTGAGTATTCAGGTTAAGAAAGAACCATATGGATCAAATTTGCATTAAAAAAAAAAAATTAAATGGTTTCCACTATATATAAAGTCAGAGTTGATGAAAAAATTATCATTCCATATAGAATAGAATTAAATTATTGAAAACGAAAATTTTACAAAAGTTTTTTCAAGACAAAAAAACTGTAATAAGGTAGGATAAACAATTAATTTTAAATCCAGAAGCCTAAAGGAACATCAGTTTTTAAGAGCCAGAACCAATATGTTATAGGATAAAAATATATTATTCTGTGATCGTATCTGTTACTGAGACATAGCAATTAAAGGAAAGATATAAAATCAACAAGATTATTCAGGATGAAATACAAACCAGAGTAAGTCCAGAAAGCCCTTGGACAGGAATAGGTTGTGATCTTGGTTGGGTATCACCAGTACCAAGTTGTCCATATTCATTGTTACCCCAAGCCCATAAAGTGCCACCCTCTTGAAGGGCCAAATTATGAAATGCCCCTACAGCAATGAGCCTAACATTTTCAAGACCTTGCACACGAACAGGAACAGATATCTGTTTTCTGTAAGATTAAGCACAAGGTTTGGAAGTTAGTGCATGAGTCTATGAGATAGACTATTAATTGCATAAATTGAAGAGAATGAATTAAGATGTATAAAACAAAAATATTGAGTTAAGCTTTATCGAATATTTACATGTCACCAGGAGGCCAAGGCTGACCCCAGGTCCAAACATGCCCATCTTTTGTAAGCACAACAGAGTGAGTTCCTCCTGCAGCTACCTGTGCCTCAAGCAATCAGGGATACATCAGACACCATTCTACCAAGAGCCAGGATACAATATATGTAAATGACGTGCTAATAAAGATAGAGATGAAGAAGCTCCCATGCAAATCCTGATAAATGAACCCATTCGACCATACACTAGAAGGGGAGACTGACATAATTTACTCTAAAGGGGAGATTGACATTAACAAATAACGCTAAAGTATCTCAAATCTTATTCACACCATTCCAATAATATTGTGTATTGATTCTCATTTCTCAATTTACTTCAAAATTGGTGATTTTAATGAGCAGATTCTTTGAAATCTGCCTGCCAACATTTTTGTTTGATCGCTATTTCATTCTTGGCTAGCCTTTAAGAAAACCCATTCCAACATGATTATATATGATAACCATGTAATGTTTTGCTTATATTCACACAGGTGAGGCATGTAAGCAATTACTCAAGAACGTATCAACAGATATCATATTCATTTTACAGAGCCTATCTCAAAAAGGTGAGGCAACATCAGTTTGAGACTGCATGAAACGTGGGTATCCCCACCATCTTCCCAAATTAAAAAACCAACAAAAACAAAGTGCCAAAAAATGGGCTACTACTATTCTTAAGAGCCTCACGTGAATATTTTGATTCATATAACTCACAAGTAGAATGGTGATTGGATTTCAACTTAATTTTCAAATGGTGGATTTCATGCATATGCTGCCATGCCATTGCAGTTCTCTGGTGGCATGTCTCGTTTATGCAATGTGATTCTGTTATAGAGGACATCATTGAAAAAACTTGCTATACTTCCATTGATGTTTAAGAAAACAAGGATAAATTTTCTTCACCGTGTTAAACAACAAGCAACTTAAACATCTGAGAAAGATAGCAGTATCAAGTCAGGAAATCTAAAATATTTCCATTGGAATTGTATGTGCATGAAAATTACTGACCAAGAAATGCCATACACAGAACTACAACTATCCTCAGAAACAAAGAGGACTCTTCATCTATTTGTTAGAGTATAGGACTCTGCCTATGCCAACGGCAGTCACATGCCTTAGTTACCTGACGAACAACAAGTTTAGGGGCACAACGCTGAGGGTTCACTATATCTCTCCTCAAAGGTCTACCAGTGTCATCCTTCCTCTCAGGTTCTTCACCACATTGCCCATATTCATTTCCACCTGAAACCAATGATATTTGATATATTAAATACATATAAAAGATTATAAACATGGACATTGACATGGAAACAGTGCATAATATGAATATAGACACCTCATCAAAACAAAATCCAGTGTCAAAGTGACAGTTGAAGCATTACATTGTGTCAGAAGCAAATCCTCTAAAGTTGAGATCCCTGGATTCCTATGAAGTTTTCCTTTTTTGATATTTTCTCCTTTTAATTATTTTTTTATAAAACATGACATCTTCTTTCTCTTTCTTAAAAAGGCAAATTTCATGAAATTCACAGATTTTCAACTTCAAAGGATTTATTCCCCATTGTGTCAAAAATACAAATGTCTAACTCTAACACATACATATATGGACATAGTTCCAATTTTTAGTGTCTGTGTCATGAACCGTAGATTGTGGCCAAGGTTTATAGTAGGAGAGGGAAGTAAACTAAAGAAATGATGAAACAATCCAGAAAAGGAATGAATTAGGCAATTAACACAATGGAGAGGATAAAACAACAGAGAAAAGGCAGGGATCTAATGGTCTGAACTCTGGGCAATGATCAAAATAATCATAAGGCTGATTGCTTGATTTTATGCTAAATATTTTCAGGTTTGAATGACTGAAAGCATGTTGAATCATTAAAGTAGCCTTGGAGAGAGACTACCCTCTCTAAAGCCAGAGTTTTATTTTCTTACAGCTGTAATTTGGAATTCCTTTTTTCTGTAATTCTTACATTTAAAAAAACCACCTTAGTGTACTTGATAGAAGTAAGTGGCTTGCAGTACATAAGCTGAGAATAATAAACATGCAGCAGAGTTTCATCTCTGTGCTTCGTAAATAAAAATTCATTGGATCTTTCTTAGTCTTGAAAAGCTAAAAGCAAAGCAACAAAATGCATTTCCCCATCTTCAAATTTATATCAACATTTTTTTTTTAATTTCAAGAACTTTAAACGTAATATACAATCAATTTTGCCTAACAGTTTATTCAACAAAAGAAAGAACAGAAAATATGAGAAACTCAATGCATTGTAGAATGATTAAAGCATACCGAGGAAAAAGAAGGGAGAAGAAAGAAGAAATTTCATCAGAAAGATACACCAAATAAAACTGCTATACAGCAAAAGGCTCTAGCCCACACGAAATCAAACTTCAAATTGTGTCTGTCTCTACAAACAACCTGGACTAAAATCCTATAATTCCTCCCCAAATTCTTAATCATTGAAATAAGCATTCCATAGCTTCTTAAGCGTATAAATCCTCTTTATTAAGCCACTTAAGGAATGTCAATGTATATGACCAACAAATGTAACTTTTATTGCAAACATCCATGGATTCCAAAATTTATTAACCGGTGTATTCTCATTGAGCCAAATATATAGAATAATATTATTGAATACCCCAGGCGTAAGCTCGGCCTTGATCATCAACAGCCAGACAGTGCCACCCGCCAATCGCCGCCTAGCATTGGAAAACAGGGCCACAAGTTAATTATGCCAATAAAAATAGCATAATACCATTACCCGAAGTTCATATATCCAAATAGAATACCTGAACAATTTTAACATTGGCAAGTGCTTTAACCTGGCTGGGAATATTTTCAGTTTTGGTTTCAGGAGGGTGCCCAAGTGTTCCTCTTTGGTTCCACCCCCATGTAAATAACTACACCAAATACACACATGTTCAATAAACTAAGATAACGTAATAAAAGATTTCAAGAAATGCATTCTCGAAGGCAATTAAGCTTCATGTGTAGTAAAGATTGAAGCAAAAGCAGAATACAGCAAACACGGAAAAAGGGGGGGAGGGGAACCTTGCCGTCTTCGCATATGGCTAAAGAGTTCCTGCTACCAGCAACGACCGAGCGGACCTTGTGGGACTCGAGAGCTCTGACAACGCAGACCCATTCTTTCTCTTCATTGTTGCCGATTCCCAATTGCCCATCTTCCCCAGAGCCCCTGAAAGAAGAATCAGAATAAACAACTGCCACGCATGAATACCCAAAAAAAAAAAAAAACCAGTTTGCAGAAGCTCAACCACGCAATGATTGCGGAATCGGAGGCCATTAGAGAGAGAGAGAGAGAGAGAGAGGGGACTGTAGCCGAAGAGAGAGGAAAGTAAACGACGCCTTTGGGTACTGCTGAGTGACTGTGTGAGACACAAAACCGTCGGCGCACTCACTGACAGCGAACAGATTCGAGAGTGTGTTTGCGGAACAGAGACACGTAGATGCAAGTGTATGTTTGGTTTTTAATTTACACATGACAAAAGCATATTTAGCGGTCTAACTATTTATTAAATTTGATAAAAAATACATTTAAGATATGATTTAATAAATATTAACCGCAATTTGAAGTCAATGCTTGATTGGGTTGGCGTTTGCATCCCAATTCCTGATCTACTCGAAGCAACGCAGTATGATTAGAAGTACGGGTACAAAACCGAGACGTCCTGACAAAAGTGACTGAGAAATTTAGATAATAATATTTATTAAATTATATAGTAACTTGTTAAATGGAAACAACAGAAACACATAAAAAGAGAGTGATAATTAAGGGTCTATTAAAAATATTAATTTCAATTACGAATTGTAAAATTTTAAAATTAGAGTTAAAGATCATGGTCTTTAATTGTGATAAAAAAAATATAATTTATAAGGTAGAATTTACTAACGCGACTTGAGAATTCACTAATCCAACTTGAGAAAATTACTAACGTATATCGTAAAAACATGAAATCCCACTTGAAAATGGAATGTTTAACAAAAAAGTCCCTTGGGAATTCACTAACTAGACTTGAAAATTTTTTTAATGTATATTGTGAAAAAATGAAACCCCACTTGAGAATCATTAATAAAAAGTGACTTATCCAAATTAGTGTTTTTTATTAAACAATCGATTCCCAAGTGAAGTTTCATGTTTTCACAATATATGTTAGAAATTTTTTCAAGTCTAGTTAGTGAATTCTCAAGTGGCGCTTTTTGTTAAACATTTCATTTTCAAGTAGGGTTTTATATTTTCATAATATACATTACAAATTTTCTCAAGTTGGATTAGTGAATTTTCAAGTGGTAATAATCAATCCCACCTCATAAATTACATTTTTTTAATCACAATTAAGGACCATAATCCTTAACTAGGATTTCAAAATTTCACGGTCCGTAATTGGGATTAATGTTCATGGTCCGTAATTGGGATTAATGTTCTTAACAGGTCCTTAATTGTCATTCTCCCATACATAAATTGAAGAAAAAATTAATTTTTTAGTCCTTTAACTTTTAACTTACTTGTAACTTAATCCCTCAACTATGACTCGCTGCGACTCAATCCCTCAACTATAACTCGCTGTAACTCAGTTCTTCAACTTTTGATTTACCTATAACTCGATCCTTATTTTTTAATTTTTTTAAAATTTTTTTATCAAATAAGAGGGATAAAAAAATGCTCATATGTTATTTTAAAATACTATCTTTTTATTCATTAATGTGAGATATAAGTTAATATAAAAAAAATTAACAAAGGTTAAGAGATTAATTTGTAAGTGATTCAAAAGTTGAGGGATTGAGTTATAAGCGAGTTATAGTTGAAGAATCGAGTTACAAGTGACTTAAAAGTTAAAAGACTAAAAGATTAATTTTTTCTAAATTTAATATAGTAATTACAATTACAATTATAATTTAAAGTAAAAAACATAACAATAATTATAAATGACCTCAACCCACAAATAGTATTGTATTCCATAATTAAAGTGAGCAAATAGTTATATAAAAAGAACATAAACTAAATAAAATAATATATATACTTTAACTTTAATTGAATAAATAAAGTTTTAAATATTAATAAAAGAAAATAAAAATATAGTAATATATTCAAGAACGGAATAGGATGTCTTGATAGTGATCCTATGTCTTATCACATCCCAAACATATTTTTCATCCTATCTCCTTTTTTGAAACAAGATAAATCCAACTTGATATGATCGAAAACAAAACTAGATTGACTAGGGCAGAACAAACATAAACACTCCTAATTAGAAGTTCTTTCATTTTTAACTTCTCTTAAGCTCAGGTCCAAGTTACCCAAAGCATTATGATTTTTTTTTTGAATATAAAGTCACGAAAAAATCATGTAAAAAAAAATTAAGTCAAGCCAAGACTTGTAAGGAGTTGACATCTTGAGTGTGAATCATCCAAGCTATCATTATGGTACAAAGCATTATCATTCAAACTATTGTGGTAATTTAGATTTCTGCGTAGCCACCCCTCGTTGACATTGCTAGGTCCAACTAGAGTTATGTTAAGAACCTTCAAGAGACAAGGTGGAGATTATGGGCTTGGGAATAAATATTGAACTCAAAAAGAACTTGGGAGCAGGTTTATTAATTAATTGAAAGAATTTTAGTTAAGGATTAAAGAAGAAACTTGATTATTAGTGGGTCTCAAAAGGTTCTAAAATTTTAATTCAATTTAAAGGAGAAAAGTCTAAATAATTTTAACAGTGAAAAGACCAAAATATCTTTCACTTGTTATGCAGAATCATTATTTCTTAATTTTCTTACTTCATTTATTAATTTATCAATATCACTAATAAATTATATGCATCCATTTGTCAGATAATCAGTGACATTAGTTGTTAATTTGCTAACTTTATTTGTTAATTTACTAACATCAATTGTAAATTAAAAAACTTATTAGTAATTTACAATTGATGTTAGTAAATTATAAGACCTGTTAATAATTTACAACAAATGTTAATAAATTAACAAGTAAAGTTAGCAATTTAACAACTAATATTGCTGCTTATGATTGAACAACTGATGTTAAGTCTTATATAATTATTAACATGTTAACTCATGTAATTTACAACTCATATTAGTAAATTAACAAGTGAAGTAATAAAATTAATAACTAATGATTTTGCATAAAAAGTGAAGGGTATTTTGGTTTTTTTACTGTTGAAATTATTTTGTCTTTTCTTACCTGGATTGAACTAAAGTTTCATAATCTTTTGGGACCCACTAGTAATTAAGTTTCTTCCCTGGTCCTTAACTGAAACACTCTCTAATTAATTTCCTAATTAAGTCTCTTCCATGATCCTTAATCTGTGACTTTTTTTACATATGTAAGAATTTGCCGACTACTAAACTATAAAATCATTGACTAAAATGATCTCTTTCATCCCTTTAGTTTTCTTCAATGAAATTGATCCCAACATCTTATATCGTACCCACACTTGACATTTGTGATTGCATGTTGTTCAACCTATTATAATGAACGCATCCTCTTGCATTACTCATACTGATTTTATTTATAAATTATTTCTAACATATTTTATTAGAATTAAAAAAATCTTAAACATCATTAATTCTGTCTTAAAATTTAATAAGTTTTTACTCTATCTCTTAATAAGGACAAAAGAAATTATTTCTCATCTTAGCATCTAATAAGAGCATAAAGGTAAAAATAAATATAAAAAATAGTGAAGTGCCATATAAATAAAATCAAAATCAATCTTCTCTCTTTATTTTATAAATAAAACCAAATGAGTACATAAACTTCTCTCTTTATTTTATAAATAAAACTAAATGAGTACATAAAGAACATTCACATGCTTCTCTCCCTCACGAGTGAGACTCAATTATGATTCTCACCTCATTTTCTGAGTTTTGGAAATCACCTTTGGTTCTTCTCCATGTTTATGTCTACTCTCAGCATTTTGTTCTTCAGTCGCTTGGAATTGAAGCCCATGTCTATGAAAGTAAGACTCAAGTTTTATTTAAACATGTTTATTTATTTTTATTTACGTACATTATCCTTAAATCTAAATTTGATTTTAATATTATTGGATTTAATTGGACATAATTTTTGCAACATATTTTTTTACTTACAAATTTTGTATCCTCAATCTTGTTTTATAAACAATTGAGTTCCTTCCACAAATTAATTATAATTGTTTTTGTACACTTTTGATCTTAAATATAAATTACATTCTAAAAATATTTTTATGATCTTAGATATAAGTTATCTTGCAACTAATTAATATCATTAACTATTTTTTTAGATTAAGGGTCATTTTTGTTCCTTAACTATACGTGAAAGGTCACAGGCATCCTAAACTCAACTATGTCTAAGGGTCAATTATATCCCTCAACTCCAGAGATCATTTGTTTTGTCACCTTACCATTTACTCCATGTATTTTGATCATTTTATGGCTTTATGGGGTCTATAATTTTGCACATTTATTAAGCCATATATGCCGGATCATTAGCTAAGTTGGTTGATGATTTGTTTTGACTGTGTTACATGGCATTTAGGCTCTAGAAAAAGAAAAAAGAAAAAATGAGGAGTATCGAGGCATTCAAATTGAAGCTTCCATCTACCATAGGCCATCTTCTACATTTATCTCCATCTTAGACCAAGTATGAGCTCATTGTTGGATATGAGTACAATGTCACCAATAAGTTTAGTAGATGATTCTGTAGGTTTTTCATCGAGCATCAGTCGAAAGAGGGTCTCATTCAAAAGTTAAGAAGCTAAAGATGTGGACTACCCACATCTATTGAGGTTTTGTTTTTGTGGAAAAATAGCATTGATGCGGACATCGTGGATCGATTACAACCTTATAAGAAGATTTTTTTGGTGTAAAAACTACCACCATATATTCTTTAACACTATTCTCCCTTGATCTAAGTTTGTTTGGTTTGGACATTGAGTGTTGAGTATGATTGTTAGGGTAGATGTCGTTTTTCTCATGGCTAAACAACGAAATGAAGGAAAGGTTGAAGCAAGTTATTCTTGAGCTCTAAGGTCATATTAAAGGTTGACTAAAGAGAATAAACGGCTATGTGTAAGAAGAAGAGAGAAGAAAGAAGGTCGCAAAGTAGAGATTAATGGCTATGTGGATTGGATAAGACAAAAAAGAAGCAAAAGATGACAATAGGTGTTTTAATATTGTCTTGAGTGTTGTCCCTTGGGTACAAATGACTCGTGTAGAAAATTACCTAAAGTACACAAGTTGTTTAGTTGTTGGTTGTCATGAGGATATTATCGAAGATTAGATTGATTGGGACCATTGTAAAATCTCTCATACTATGCTCCAATTAACTTGAATTTTATGATAATCAAGGAATTATCCCAAGAGATTACCAACTGTATAAGATTTACAAAAAGGGGATTTCAAGTTTTCAAAATTAACAACATTATCATATCCTTTCCAATTT